GCGTGTGTATGCCAATTTAGGGCCACTTGTATCTTAGGAGTCAGTGATCCGTTGTTAAATAAGAAATTGTTGAAGTCTTTCGGTACCTTTAAGGAAATATTAAGGGAATCGGGTGACATTCCAAGGTTTCGTTGGCATGTTATGAGAGCGTCGCACAAAAGGTGCCTCGTGGCGTGCCCTAGCATTCTTACGAGGACCCATAATCTTAAACCTTGAGTTCGCTATTTGTACCCAATTCGTTTATTCTGTTTTTGTTTGTTCCGCATATGTATCTGCGAAGCGTGGAAATTTGGAGACGGTAAGCCGATGTAATAGATACGCAATACATGCAAAATATTTTATTTTCCAAGTTCAAGAATATCTATGACAAACCGATTGTTGTTATAAATAAAATTCTTATCATTGACAATAACTAAAGAAAGTATATTGTTGATAGTTGAAATACTTACTAATTACTAAATATTTTTAGGTTGTAATTGAAATAGAAATACAATTGTATATTAATATGTAAAATAATACAACTGCCCAGCCCTGTCTACATACATATGTTTTTGTAAACCTTCGACGCGCAGTAAAGATTTACTTTACGAATTACGAATTAACATTTAGAGCTTAAAATGACATTGAAAACACCCGGAGATTAAAGAGCAATGCAAATGCTGAATACTGCTTACGACATCGGCAATATCATGTCATAGACATAGAACATTTCATTATTATTACATATTCTAATGTAACACTGTAGTGCTATGGTGTTAATACACTTCATAATAAAAACCTCTTGTCTTCTCATTCTTGGCACTTGAGAAAGAAATAAGGAAAAAAATGTTACTTGGTGACTTTGGATTACACGTGACGAAATGATAACAAAAATAAAAGAAACTAAGGATAAAACACAAAATTAAAACTATTTTATGTAAAATGTTACCAAAAATGGTCTCAGCTTTTTGTAAAATTTAGATAAAATCGACTCATCCGTAAAACAAAGTTCTATGTGCAAGACTATTTGTTATCATAACATAGTACATTGTGTTCGTTATTCTTCGCTGTGGATATCAGGTCGACCGTTGTTGGATTTTATATTTCCAAAACGACATAAGATATATAAATTCTCAAAACACCTTTACATAGGCCTTAGATTGAATAACGAAACTATTCTCGTCACGTACTTATTACATTCTCGCTATATAATCACATCGGACTCTGTTCTTCGGATAAGTCGAAATGTTATAAGAAGCCTTTGTCAATGATAGGTGGTTCTTATTCCAAGATATATTTTAAAACCAAACAATTTTCTTCGGATTTAAATCGCGTTTTTTTTTTCAAACAAACCGAAATTTTGCAGTATTTATTGGTCTCATAGTCACGGCGGCTGACTGAGTAATACGTAATTTAGATTCCCAATTGTAATTTGCAAAAATGTGAAAACCATACCAAAAATTGTATAATCTTTTTTATTTATATAGCAACATGTATTTTTTTCCGTTTTAGTATTTTATAGGGTAAGTGTAATTTCCCGCTTTTCTACTTCCTATTATTATAAAGATGAATCAAACACAAAGAAAAAACGTTGAAGCGACAAACGCCGGCCGGTTCATTTCCAGTCGCATCTTTGGATTCTTTCTTTGTGTTTGTTTGGTCTTTGTATCAATAATAATAACACAGTAGTGGAGTATTCTTACAAACACCTTTCCTATAAAAAAAGTCGACCTCATAAGTTTGTGGAATTACATTTATTTGCCAAATTTCCAGTAAAAAAGTATTATTAAAATCGGTTCACAATTAATGTCGGAGTAATCGCGTTACACACACGTAAAAAAATACAGTCAAATCAAGAACCTCCTTCTTTTTTAAAGTCGGTTAAAAATAGATGAATTTCGTGGTAGTAAAAACATCATGATATTCAATAAAAATAAAATATTTTCTCTTCTTGTTATTTAATTATCTATTCGTTACGGAATTATTAATTACATGTCAACTTGTCAAGCCGTTATACATTCCACTGCTGGACAGGGGTAGTCTTTAAGGAGCTGGTTTAGTGAGTTTGTCTGCCTCGCTAGTCCAATGCAAGTTGGGGATGTCATATCTTTTTATTTTGATTTATTTTTATTTTAATAGTAGAAATTACAGAAACAATTACCTTGTTTTCAAACAATATAATTTTATAAAGAAACAGCAGTAAATCTGCATTCCAATTATAACTGTTCACAGCGTTCAGAAAACTATAGACTATGCGATCTTATGAATAAGATCTTATGAAGAATTTTAAAATAGAAGAAGGTATAGGTCAAATGAGTCGTTTAATGACGGACTTTTTGAATGCGGGAAGGCTATCACGAAATATATCATGGTTACAACAAATATCATTATATGTTCTACACATTCGGTAAATTGGACTATTTGCAAAAATATTATCACTTACGAATGGTTGATTAGCAAATAATTGAGATCGGTGAACTGAACGAGTTGACACCCTTATGCAGATCTTATCCAGTAATTTGTCACCAAATCCACCATTAACTATTTTGTGCAATGTACATAAGTCACTGGTAACTCAACAGCGAGCAAGGGTTTCTACCTTAAACTTATTGAGTATGCTTTCATAACCCAACAATTTACATCTCAACCCAAGTCTACTGCAAAGCATTCTTAGAAATCGACGTTGAACAGATTCTATCTGATCGATGTGTGTTTTGTACATGAGAAACCAGACCGATGAGCAGTATCCACGGTTGCTCATGCTTAAACGGCTTTAAGGGTCGCTAACCTTTTTTGACATGCAGGTTTTTAATCATGATGTTCTCCATCATAAATATTTAAAAGCGTGTTTGATTTCCATCTCCTTGTAGGCCTAACACAAGATTTACTAGCAGCAGGGCTCTTCTTTCCTTTCCTATTTCTGCCGCCAAGCAGTAATGTCAGCATTACCATGTTCCGGTTTTGAAGGATAAGATAAGGTTGCTGGTGAAATTACAGGCACATGAGACTTGTCAACTTCTGCCTCGGGGTGACCGGCGCAGTGGCAGTGTCCCTTAGATGTTTGCGATTTAAAGCCCTTAGTGGCACTGCAACTGTTATGGACAGGCATATAGCTTACCATCAGGCGCACGACTTCTTCGTCTCGTCACTTGATATTCTAAAATAATTAAGAAAAGCAACAGGGCGTGACATGTGCGAAATACGTAGACATAATGCGCGAGATACTGTCTATAAGACACTGTCATGCTAGCCCTAATAATAGAATGTGATGATGAGGTTGACGATTAGCTTTATAATGTCGATTCAGTTTAGCCTTGAAAAGACCCAAATTATAGCGTTCAGGGAACAAATCTGCAGGCAGGGGATTCCACTTCAATGCCGTAAGCCATATAAATGTGAAAGCGTAACGCTTCGTTGAAATCTTGGGTATATCCACACCAGCCTACGTCTAGTCCCTCAATGACAGATATAAATAAGTAACTTAGGAATTAAGGTCATAGGTCATATAAAGCCAAGAGATTCGAAATTCAGAAGTACCTGCTCTCCCACTGGGCTATTAATTTGAAATATATATAAACAATTACGCAAGAAAATTTGTTTTCCATAACGCAATAGCATTTGGACCCATTTTAATTTGTTTGATACATTTAGATACGGTTCAGAACATTGCTTAATCGATTTAATCCTCCAGTTTTGTACCAATTTAGGATTCACATTTGATCTCACAATACTTTGATGTTTTTAACCAAGTCTTTTAGAAATCGAGACAAAAACGTATCATATACGCATGCAATTTATATAAAATGCTTCATAAATAACAAGAAGCTTTGAAAATAACATAATTTTTCCGGCTTCTAATTGCGCATATTTGTTTTTAAAATAAATCAACGTTTTGGGTTTTATACAGGTTCCATGGTCACGGCTGATTGAGATGATAAAGTCATCAACCGGTTATGTCCAATGTTAAAGCTAACCACTCTATTATTCACTATAGTTACAAAATTTACTAATGTAAATATTTTATTTTTAATTTACCAAAAAACATTCCATTTTACGCTACATATGTTTTGCAAAAATATTTTATTTTAACAATATAAATTTTACAATAAAATCTTCAACCCATTTATACGTCCCAATGTTGCGCACGGGTCTTCTCTCAGACGATTGTTACGGCCACACTCCGCCACGTTCGCTGGACCAATGAAGGTTGGGGACCTTCATCTTTCACCTTTCATCACGATGTTTTCCTTCACCGAGAAGAAAAATTCCGAAAAACTTAGCGATGTAAACCCGGATTCTAAACCACGGCCTGTGCTTGAGAGGCGGCAGGTCAAACTATTAGACTATCACGGCTTTAATTCAATAATTTTTACTAAATAAAATTTATTAATAGTTATATAATCGCGAAAACCTAAGACGAATTATTATATACAACAAGAAGCTTTGTTATTTAAAACAAATGTATAATGGTGCACAGTAAGCAAATAATACATTACGTAAAAAGATAAAACGTTTTAAATGTTTTTATGTAATACGTACCCCTAGAATCATTTTGTAGAGTTTGATTCATTCGTTAAATTACAGTCACGTACATTAATATGCAAACACGCAGCGAAATTATAATCAAACAATGTTCCGTATAGACATTTTATAATATTGTTCTCGTATCGTATTGTTAACATAACCTATTGACTCTTACAATAGTAAGAGTTCTCAATTTTGTTGCATTATGTCTAAATTTTATAATTTATATTGACGTTTTTATATCGCTACACGCACTCGTAAAAATGTTGATAAAAATTACGAATTCAGGTACTCAAACAATGGATTCACAATTTGTCTACATTATTTTACCAGTACATTATTATATGGGCAATCGATTTAGTTAATGGCGAAGATAATTTACCGCATTTACTTTCATTGCGAGATGAACACTTTAACATAGGAATTAAGTTAAATCGTTAGAACTAGTAAAGTAATTATTGTATCTATTTATTATAAAACTATGGTTACGAATTTACCATCAAAACTCCGCGAAAAGTTTCAGCTCTCCAAACTTGTGCAGGCGACAACCAAATTCACTTTCACGTTCGATTAAAAGGTGTTGTGAAAACTTTTGCGTACAGGATGTGTTTAGTTTGGTGAAGTTATTTAGTGTTTTGGGAGGCGAGGTTTTGGAAGCGAGGGTGGTTCGCGCGCGGCGGCAGCGGGTGGCGAGCGGCGGCGGCGCGGCAAAGCACGGTAAGTGACGGCGGCCGCCCCCATGGCACTGGCGGGCGCGGGCCGGCGAAGGCGACGCGCGCGCCGCGCAGCCCGAAGAACGCGGCGTCGTCGTCGCTCCACGCCCGCCCACTCGGCTGCAAACTCCGATTTCCGTAGCTAAGCCGAAGCTTTCCTAGATTGTGTGGCCTTAGTGAACATTAATTACACCCAACTTAGTCTGATTAAACCTTGAGGAATTATCCGGATTGACAAAATTAACTTTTAACTCAGATTTATGGCATTTCAAGCGCCGACGATTGGACGAATGGAAGCCATGTTGGGATTTTTTAATTTATTCACTTTCCTGAGAGCATTACTCAAACATAACATTATTAAATCATTGCATCATATATTTCTTTTATCTTCTGTATTTTTACTTAATAGGTCCCTATCTACACTTTAACTGAAAATTATTGCACCGCGTTTAGTAAATTAATTTCATTGGAATCAAAATATGAAAGAACACATTATACAGAAAAACAAAAATTTGACAATTTGTTATATATTTACAGTTACAATTTGTAGTATATTTGTTATTTTCACCTACGCAACTTGAAAATTATGTTTCTTAATAATTAATTAAATTAATAACGTCAACCTTTTGACCTTTATGGATTCACACGTAACTTTCATGTGAAATAAAGCATTATTAGCACATGGTGTTTCAACCATTTTCTTAATATAACTTCACAATATCAGACCGTTGTTGTGCGTATTTGTGTTTTAACACGTTCACTATCCGGGTAAGTCCACTGGAATATGAGTGAAATAGTGTTAGTGTGTATTTTAATCGCTGATTATATTTAATATGGATATATTATTTTGTTATTTTTGAAAAATTACACCTCTGTAAGACTATCCAATTCACAAGTTTAAAAAACCAACATCGTGTTAAATAATAAATACATTTAAGCGCAATAAACAACTGTATGTACAGTCAGCGCGCTGTAAGTAGCTCATAACACACATAACAGCTGACGCTTTTTAATATCTAAGTAACAGAAATTAATAACAAGCTATTTGGATTTAAATCCATTAGCTGCTTGTTTCGGAAATATTTAATATTCAATATTCAACGACGTGAATAATAAGGTATAAATCTAACCAATATTTGAATAATATATCTAGCTATCTTTGTACATTCAAAGTGATTAAGACAGTAATTAACATTGGTAACTGGTCAGCTATTTCTGATGTTGACCTTTACTATTACGCAGCAACGAAGGGACTATATAACACTATTCCCACCGGCTTGCTTTTGAAATTAATTCTCTAACCTAATAGTCGGTGTTGGATGGAAAAATGCTTCGCATTGCAACATTTACTTCCTGCCTTTTACATCGACTCACCATTTTGAAATATTCTTTCGCCTCTGCTTCTACTTCGTCATATTTGGACTTCCTGTTCGGACATCTCCTGTTCAGTCTCTTCCGATCTATTTATTCTCTGTCACCATTATCAATCTATAAATAATGTGCCGCATAACAGCCTTCTCATACGTTTATGCGGTCAGTATAATGTCTCATGTGATACGTTGTAATCATGATGGAATTTTCCATGGCCCGAAATAATGTGAAATGTCTTCCTCAGATCGCTTATTTTTGTTGTACACCATTATTTACATCATTACCTATCTCGTCGTTACTTTTTTACGAAAAGATGCCCTTTTGAAGTCTCAAAACCAGTCCCCTGGTGTGTCGCAACTCACGAATCATCGAATAGAAAATTGAATGAATGAATGAATGAATCATTAGTTGTCTTACTATTTTAAAGTCAAGAAATGAGCCGTTATATACATGACAATACATTCAACCTGTTGCTTATTTTACACCCAAGAGCATTTAAGTACTTTTGTCACTGCAATTTGTTATGAGTCCCCTGGAAAAAATGTGACTCCAAAATTGTCACAAATAGTACATATCTTCGTGCAATTTTGCTATTCCGGACGATCATAGCACGTCGTGAAGTTCGCATTAAACTGTAAATAACACTGCACGCGTTCAGTTCGTCAATGCAGTGCCTCAAAGGTAAAAAATTTTGTCGCTAACAGTCAAACTTTCAGTTCCCTAGTGAGTGTTTTCTTCAATAACCAACCTCAGATTGTCGGTATCTTAAGTACAGACATAATAGTCATTTATCGCTTTTGTGCTTACCTACAATATTCATTATATCAACTCTTATTACTACTTTACGTATTTATTTGTTCATTTTTCCCGCAACACAATAGTTACCTAGTGCGGGGTATAGTAGTAGTAGGGGCATAGTGGTAGTTAACTAGTGCGGGGCTATGTTGTGTGCGTTATTTAGGTACATTACAAACTTATTACTAAATAGTCAACAACTGGCAATTCTTTGCCTAGTGGCAGATCATCTGGTAATCAATCAATATCATTGAACTTAGAGTAGGAACGTATATATTTGTAATGAGAGTTCTAGTTTGAGAACGTCTATAATCTCTTATTTAAACTTTAACACGAAATATACCGATATTAAATCCAAGAAATAAACCTTCAGGATTATAATAATAAATGATACGGTCTACTGATTGAAGCAATTCACTGAAATATTAAACAATTGAGAAAAATCAGAGGAAAGATCATAAAAAAACAGTTCGCTGTACATTTGCCCATTCCTTTCTTTAAACGTTCATTGTAATCACGAAAGAAAATAATTTGTTTCTGAATTTTTTATCGAGAATTTTGTAAGAAGTTCTATAATTAATTGTAATCCATTGTTCAGAAATCTACGCACAGTCAAGGACTCTAACATTATGCCGAATATTAAATTTTGCTGTCCAAAGACTTAACACAAATTAACAATAATAATTGGAATTCCCCAAGCCACAAAACGTATTATTAATCTGAATCTCGAATTGAACACAGCGTTAACTAAAACGTACCAAGAAGGCTCGAAGTTTACATCATTGTCAGATTAAAGGTCTTATACTTGCTTTTTGTAAGCTTCCTTCAAACTGACTATTCGTGAATATAAAGGGTTATTTGGAAAATACAAACAACCTCGCAGAACTATATTACTAACATCATTAACTACAGTTTTTATTCCATGCTTTTAATCATTTATCGCAATTCAACTTTTATATGTCGCTCTCGCGTAAGTCACGCCCTATCGTGCTAGCCGTACAGGTAAGGTGTAAGTTCAAACGTGCAAACATCGCGCCCTATCGTGCTTGCCCTACAAGGCTCCGTCACTCGTTCAAAGTTACACGATAAGTGCCTACCGCTGAGTGTGCCGACGTCGGCACAAACGCCCATACAAGTCTTTCATTTATGAGCATTCGGTTCCGCATGACTGCATGCGGCGGGCAATGTTTTTTCACGTCTCTGAGTGCGTGCGTAGGTTCCTTTTTCCTCGTAGTGGTGTCATTACTCAGATTTAGTAGGCTATTATATCGTAAGTATTTTCGATTTTGTATGGGAATGATGTATTTGTTACGTAGCAACTTTTAAGTAATCTTACTACCAGATACAGATCTAAAAAGTGTCAAACGGTGCAACAAAAACTAGTAGTTGCTAGATAGTTTATTTTTGGTAAATTTATTATGTTCTGTAAAAAGTTATTGTTATGATGTTAGTAATACAGTCCTTGGAGGTTGTTAGTATTTTAGAAATAACAATATATTCTTTATAAATTATTGTCTGTATTTATATCATATATTGAAGATGATTCCTGCTTTAATAGCCAATTATCCTCCTTCCACATTTCTAAACAGAATCATAATTCTTTTACATATGCTACTTATCAACGAAATAATATGTGAAGAAAGAGAAACAACAGTTTATTCCCAGATTAATAAGAAGTAAATAAAATAATGCCTCCTCGTGGCCGGTCGCAATAATATGTTTTGGCAGTGTACTTGACAGCGCCCTTATTCTGGTCCAATCTATTTGCGTTAACAAGAAACGAGAATATCCTTGGACACAGGCCAATCACACCTGGAAGTTTACAAGAAGCTCGTACATCAAATATAATGCTATATTTTTTGTTAAGGCAATAATCCATAATTGGCATTCGGCAACACAGTTTAAACGTAAACGTTTCAAATAATATATTTTAGAGGCTTAGTATTCTTTTCAAATAAGCAAACTTTGGCGATATCTATTAAAAAATGAAATATGGCCACGAAAAGTTGTCCTTCTAGATTATAACTTTCTTCTGAGCACAAACGGCAACTATAAATAAAGAGAAATACTGTACTAAACATACACTTATACTAGCTATTAAAAAAAATTGGATACAACGGAACATATTTTCGGAATAGTCGCGCCGTATACTTACGTATCTTAGACAGATACATACGTATCTCAAGTATCGTGTTCGCTGTGAGATAGGTTGCAATAAGACAAAAGGAAATCTAAGGCACGGAAGTGCCTCCGCTAAAGTCGAGAAAACACGACTGTTCACCCTTTTTTCGAATCAACTCAGAGCATTTTTTAAGTCTTCCAGTTTTTATATAACTCTAAAATTGTAAGAGCATTTAATATACATAATTCCTAAAATTAGCTCTGTTGGTTTCTAACTTAGATAATTTCAAAATTGATCACCGTTAAAATTTGTTATTTCGGCATGCAAGAACATCACCTAAAATCTAAGGTACTTCTTACTTATAGGACCTTGAAATTTGTCATTTATACTAACCCGTAAATAGTCTATAAAAACAGAAAAAAAATTATATGCGACCAATTCTTCACAAAGTGTTGACAATACCACTTTTCAAGTAGCAAAACTAAAATTGAGGTAACCTGTATGTCGGAGAAAGTTTACAAAACTTTACACACATGATAAGCCACAAACGTGGTGAGCTGTGGCCTCGACCCTTTCCTTAGAAGGGAACTAAGCCCAGCAGTGAAAAGTGTATGAACTGATAAACGTACAGAGAGTGAATTTTGTGGACAAAGAGGAAAAAGAACAACACGTATATACAAAAAGAAGTGAGATCCCAACAAAAAAATTCCATGTAAAATAATTAAGTAAAGTCTCGCGACTCTTTTA